AGACATCCTCACCCCTGCCTCTCCTCAGACATCCTCACCCTGCCTCTTCTCAGACATCCTCACCCCTGCCTCTCCTCAGACATCCTCACCTCTGCCTCTCCTCAGACATCATTACCCCTGCCTCTCCTCAGACATCTCCTTCCTGGTCTCCCTGTTTCTGCACAGCTACCTGCAATCTCTGTACCATCCTATTGATTGCAAAACTGACCACTTTCCCAGATCAGTCAACTCTCTGGCCCTGTCTCCCATCTCTATCCAAGCTCTCACCAGTGATGCCATCCTGGGACTGTGAACACTCTCTGTGAAGCTTCTTTGTGAAATCCCATCTTCCCCAGTGACTCAGCATTTTGCTCCTCAACGGCCATCCAGGGTTTTCTAGAGGCACCCACAACTCACTCTAGATCTGTCAAGATCCTCAACTGAAGTGTCAGCCTCTTTGTTCCTAGCACTGGATTTAGTGGGCCCAGGTGTGGATTGAGAATATCTCTGTGATACCCTTGGGTCCAGATGTATTTTGAGACCCACACCTTTTCTGCTTTCCGGATGGTGACGTGGTACACACCACTGTTTAAGTAGGGTCCGACAGCAGCACGGGAGCAGGGCTGGATTACCTAATATTTCAGTAGCAGAATGCATCAACTCTCCTTGTCCTATAAATTAGATTCTCACTAAACCTAATGGAGACAACTTTGTTGCAGGACTTTTCCTGCCTATTGTATTTGCAGTGGAGCTATGCCATTGGGCAGTAGAAGAGGTAGGTGGAGCTAGGAGTTGGGAGGAGGAAGGAAAAGAGAAGAAGGGAAGGAGGAGGAGGAGAGAAGATGGCCTCGGATGGCCGTGTGTCTCTGGCAGTCCAAGGTAGTTATTCTTATCAAAGTTAGGTAATTGGGTTAACAATTCTAAGTGTGTGGGCATCTTGTGTATTGAGTATTTTCAGATATATAAATCTATTTGGTTAATCTTTAAGCATTAAGGGTCTTATTTCTACTAGGTACCGAGAGGATGGCAGTTATTGTCTGGGGTGGTAGAGTTGGCCCAAGGTCCATGCTTAGAACCGTGGAGTCCATGGAGCTGACCTACAGAAGCAGGAGCCGTGCCAACATCTCGTGGGTCCCTGTGCTCCTGGCCAGCTGGGCCTGCTGTTAGTGCGGGAAGCTAGAGAGGCAACATGGTGGCCAGGCCAGGAGCTAGCTTGCTGCCACTTTTTCTAACAACTCCTGCAACACAATTTAAAAATAGTTCATTCAAGGGGCTAGAGAGATGGCTCAATAGTTAAGAGTGTTGGCTGCTCTTCCAGAGGACTCTGGTTCAATTCTCAGCACCCACATGGCAGCTCACCACTGTCTGTAGCTCCAGTTCCAGGGGATCCAATGCCCTCACACAGACATACACGCAGGCAAACACCAATGTACATAAAATAAAAATTAAAACAATAATTTAAAATAGTTCATCACAAACACTGGTTGGTGGATATGATTGCTATCTCCTATTTTCAACCTGACTAGACTAAGAACCCTAGTTCTAGACTAAGAACCCTCTTCAGTGACAATGAGACAGTCCATGGGGTGCAGCCAAGCTTGCTGACCTGGCTTGACCCCTGAGACCCAAATGTTGGAAAAGAGAACTGACTCTTGCAAGCCACCTTCTGACCTCCGTCTGTGCTGGGACACTTGGGAGCATGTGAGCGTTAGTGAGGTAGTCTTTGGGCATGTCTGTCAGGCTTCTCCACAGGGCGTCAGCTGAGGAGGCGATGGGCACATCGTGAATGGAGGCACAGCCTCTCAAAGTTGAACTGAGAAAAGGAGAAAGCGGATGTTTCAGGCCAAGGACCTCCTAACTCCCTGCCTTCTGCTCCACAGCAGCCGTCCCATCTGAACCCTCCTATACGATGCTTCTTGTCAGGTATTTGGTCACAGCAAAGAGATCTGTGAGGCTTCTATTTTTGGAGCCATATTAAGGGACCAGGGAGCTGGCATAAGGAAATGGTGGCCATTTGCACAGTACAGACATGAAGTAAGAGTGCTTGCCTCAGTGTCTCTACACTGCAGACTTTAGTCTTCTCCAGTTAGGGGGTCACTGGGGCTCTCCTGACAGTGCTGCCTTCAGCTGAGGAGTACATGTCCACAGTGTTTTAAATCTTCTCATTTGACTTCTATTTCCAGAGGATTTTCACCTTCCACACCAAAAAACCAAGTTCACCCTTCTTCATTTACTTAGTAACGTGAACACATGAGGCTCCTTGGGTTTCTAGCTGCCTAGAGAGGGCTCTCTGTTCAACAGCAGGTTGATTGCTCTTTACAAGGGTCGATTTTCAGGTTTCAAATCCCAGTGATGTTCACTCTATCTCCCTCCAAATAAGAGCTAGCTTTAAAGTGAGAGTTCATCTAACATGTAATGCAAAGCTATCACCATAGAAAACTCCTACATACAGTGCACACTTAACTGTCCATTGGTTTGGCTCCTCCAAACCCCTCCAATAAGACCTTTTTAAACACAGCTAAGTCAGATGTGAAGCCAGCAATGCAGGGTTTATATATACATCATGGGATACTGGCAGTATGGGTCCCAGCATTCTGGCAGGCAATTCCTAGGCAGTTATTTTGACATTAGACAGTCACAATCCATCAACTTAACAGCAGGGCAATACTTTTGGGGACCAGGATAATAGCTCTTCAAATGACATGGTAGGAAGCCAGCAGTAGCTCCAAGAGGCCCTGCCTAAGAAGAAAGATAGAAAACTAGGCAGAATTTCCTCAGTCCTTAGAACCAATCATTATATCATGTCTTCTTGCATGACCATATTTCCTCTAGGGGCAGAAAAGAAATGCCCCTCCCACAGAGCCAAAGAAAATGGCTAAACTCTGGTTGGCTGTGTGGAGACAAGACATGGCTCTGCCTAGCACTTCTTGGTTACATAAGGGGAGACGTCCAGCTCTTCGTGGCACACACTGTGGTGTCCACAGCAGCACTTCAGAAGAAGCCACTGGACTTTGTCAACACTGCAAGTTATTCAGCTCTCAATAGTCTGTGAAACAGAGCTCCTGGGGGTGGGGGTGGACGGTACTTAGACTAGATCTCGGAAAGAATTACAGAGCCAATGACCCTGATTGAAACTCTTCCTACACACACACACACACACACACACACACACACACACACACACACACAGCCTCCGTCTCCCATTCTGCTCTCAGGCTCAAATGCATGGGACTGGGTTCCATGGCATGCTTCTGAGTGACTGTCAACATCCAGGAGAGAAGGATGCTGGTGGGATGGGAGAGCAGGTAACGGGTTCTCAAATGCCCCATAATAATTGCGAACACACACATATCATACACGCACACGTACATCCTGAGGGACAGGTGAGCCATAATACAAGGACAGCATACTTTCTCGTTTACTCTAGAAGAGAAGTAACAGACAGGTCGGGGATTGCATGTTGGTGGCTGAGACTGTGAGGAGGGTCAGTGGTTGGATGTAGTCAGTGCTGTGGCTAAGAAGAGACATGGAATCTGGGAGGCAAGTCTGCTGGCTGTGTCCCCTCTACATACATAGAGGTGTTTGTGGAGGCCACAGGCTGCAGCTAGTTCTTATCCAGCCTCCCCCATCTCTCACTGCCTTCCTGAAATACTGACAACACAGAAGACACATTATTTTCATGTTATACCTTCTCTCTCTCTCTCCCTCTTCCTCCTCCTTCTCTCTCTCTCTCTCTCTCTCTCTCTCTCTCTCTCTCTCTCTCTTTGTACGTATGTGTATGTGTACATATGTGTGTGTACATATGTGTGTGCGTACACATGTGTGTGTGTAGTTCAGAACTCAACACCAAATGTCTTCTTCAATTGCTCTCCACCTTAGTTTTTGACACATGGTCTTTCACGGACCTGATGCCCGACTTGGGTAGGCTGGCTGCCCAGCAAGCCCCAGGGGTCCTTCATCTCGTCTGTGTAGCCCTGGGACTACAGGTGAGCACTGTGGCTCAGAATATGTGTGAGCTGGCATGAGACTCAGGTCCTCAGGAGGGTGCATCAAGAACTTTACTGGTTGAGCCATTTCCTTGCCCTTGTTCTCTATGTTAAAGAAAAAGAAATCCACTACATGGGCAAATGCCAGCAAGGAATGCATGTACAGATCTTAAAACAAAGACAACGGAGTTACACAGTCTGCATTTTATTTTAATGCACTTTTGTGGCAGTTTCAACAGTATCTCCCCCTTGGTTCTAAAACCCACCCTCGTAGGAATGGCTGCAGTGTCTAAGCCACGAGCAACTGAAAACACACATTTCAGGAAAGCTGTTCTCAAGCACCCAATGGCGGAAGCAAAGTCAGCAATGTGTCCTTACCTGGGGCAGAGACTCTTCCGTGCAGCACAGATTCACCAGGCAGCAGATCCTTTGAATTGGAGGTGAATGGTGATTGTCTAAATGTGTCTTCTGAAAAGAAAGGGCTGGGGCAGGGGAGGAGGGGCGAGGGTTAGTAAATTGAAGTTACTTAAGACACCCAGAGCGCCTGGATATACACACACACCCACCCACACCCACACCCACACCCACACATCACACACACAACACACAAATACACACTGTCTACTGCAGTTACTTGTGTTTTTTCAGTTATGTTTTAGCTATATAAATAAGACTATGCTTGTAATGGAGGAAAAGAGCAGGTTGTCACAGATGAGCATCGCATGGGCATACTTCTTATACTCAGGGACCACAGATAAAATATTACCTTTAAAAATAGATTTCGTGTGTGTGTGTGTGTGTGTGTATGTGTATGTGAGTGTATGTGTGTGAGTGTGTATATGTGTGTGTATATGTGAGTGTGTGTGTGTGTGTATGCACATGCATGTGGAGACCAGAAGACAGTGTCAGATGCTCAGAAGCTGAAGTTACATGTGGCCGTGAGCCATATGACATGGGTGTTGAGATCCAAACTTGTCCTCTGCAGAACAAGCATTCATAACCACGAGCCTCTCTCCAGCCCTAAAATACACTTGAGACACAACAAAGCTCACGTCCAGGGCCAGCCCAGTGGCTGGATGTATTTCCCTTGCTCACATGATTTCTGGGTTTTAAAGAAGATAACTGCTGGCTCAGGATCAGAAACACTGTCTCTGTGCTCTCTCTGTAGATGGAACCACCTGCTTATTCCATAATCTGTCACCTGACCCTCTCAGAGACTAACAACACATACAGGAGGCAGACGAGACTGGAGCCTAGGGCCACTGAACTGCAGGACACAACTGGCTGGACCCTCAGAAACTGCAGCTCAAGCTGGAGCTGGGTTAGTTCTATAAGAGATCTAGCTGGGAAGCCAAGCTGCTGACCCAGGTTGCAGCATCGAAGAAAAGGACAGAATCAAACTGGGCAGGACTGAGCCCTCTAGTGACCCAGCTGGAAGCACAACAGAGCGTTAGAACTCCTACCAAGATCCTCCCCCACAGCACTGCCACCGTGAGCGTGGGGGGTTCTAACCCAGTGACCACATCCACTGTCTCCATCTCTGAAGGCAATATAAAATACTGCAGGCACACATGGGGGGCTACACAGTATCCATCCAGGTCCTTCCTGGGAACAGCTCTACTTGTGTGTATCACAGAAAACTAAACCAGGGAAAGGATTGCCAAGGTAGTGGCAAGGCCATGGGCAGTAAGGCAGTCTCCAGATGGGAGTGGCAGCGAGCTGCTATTGCCCTGAAGTTTAAGGGACAAAAAAGATACACATGAGGCTAGCAATGAAGCCTCAGGCAAGTTGGAGGCCAGGTAACCTGAAGCTGTAGAAGAAGCCTCTGCCCAGAAAAGGGGATGCTTTTCCTAGGCCCTACCCCTGCCTCTCATCAGGGTCTGGGGTTGTCCAGACTTTCCTGGAGGCAGGGGGACTGTAGCTTGAAGGGGCAAGACAAAGAACAGATCCCAGGGCATGGAAGGCTAAGGACCTCACATGTGGTGAGGCCTTTCTAAGCTTGGCCCTAGACTACAGTTACAATGATAAAATAAATATTAAAGAGACACTATTAAGATACAAGTGGAAAAGAACATTTTTTAAAGGAAAGTTCATATCACTGTGTAATACAGTCCCACCATAACTGTTTGGTTACACTGAGTGTGACGCTGACTGGCATGCTTTGTATTTATATTGTAAACAGGGAGCAATTTTAATGGGCTTTAAAAGTGCACAAGCTGTGGGCCACTTAGCAGATAAATAGGAAAGGCAGTTTATACCTTTCTACCAAGGACCACAGAAGCTGCAAGTCACAAGCCACTTGGTGCTGAGCACATATACGCTGCAGTTCCGGCACTAGCTTCACTACTTGGCCGTGATGTGACCTGGCACAAAGTCCTTAACTTCTCTGGGCCTCCATCTCTTGTCTCCAGTTGGGATAACAGTTCCTACACATCACCAAGGAGTTGGGAGGAGCAAACAGAAGAGTCCATGGACTGTGTTTTGCATAGTTCCAGTGCATACAACAAGTGCTCAATAAATGGGAACTATATATATTTTAATGTGTAGCCTGAAGGAGAATAAATTAATTAACTTTTTCATACAAGTTAACAAAAAGGGAAGTTCCCTTTGTATAGATGCCATTATAACAAATGAAGGAAAAGCCATTTCTGATTTGAAAGTCTTAGTTAACTGTGGGGATTAGGCTAATGCCCGCCCTTGGATAAAGACTACTAAAGATCAAAGAACATGTAAGGGGTTAGAGAGACTGCTGCTCAGACATGGGGCATGGGGCTTCTTGTTGCCAAAGCTGGGCTGTAGTGGTAGATTGTTTAGCATGCATGAGACTCTCTAGGCTCCCTCCCTATCAACACACACACACACACACACACACACACACACACACACACACACACA